CAGGACGCTGCCCCGTGGATCCAGGTACTTCCACCGTGCCGGGTTGTTGTTCCCGATGGTGGTTTCCAGCGCTACCTGTGGGGAGGGGAGCGATAGGGAGGGCAACGGGGCCGGGGAGGGGTCCCCCAGGACCAGACCCCACTCACCAACCCGCTGCTGAGGATGTAGAAATCATCCCCGGAGAAGATGGTGCCGGGGTAGGAGGAAAACACCTGGACGCTCCCGGGGATCTGAGAATTGCCTGGAGCGGGGAGGGATGCAGGGGAGCATCAGCAGGGAGGGGGGGGGTGTCAGACGCAGCCCCCCAGCCCAGCCCACGCACCGCCAGCTGAGACACGGAAGGGCAGCGTGTACTTCTTGATGATGCGCAGCATGGACTGGTAGGAGGTCCAAGTGTCGTGGGCGACCAGGAGATCCCGATGGCCCGGCAGCAGCTTCAGGAGGGCAGAGCAGGAGCCTGAGCCCAGGACACGCCGTGGGGAGGAGCGGTTCAGGGCAGATTCCAGGTCTTCCAGGTCACCCCCCAACTGCAGCAGGCTGGGGGGAAGCAAGACACAGGGTGTCAGGTCCAGGGATACCCCAACCCACGAGCCAAGCTGGCTCAGAGCTCTCCGTCCGTCCGTCTGGGCCAGAGGGTGTTTCTCCATCGCGCCAGGGCGCGGGTACGAGCACCCCTGCAGCCTGAGCAGGGAGGGAAGGGTGAGCACAGCAGTGGGGAAACCGAGGCAGGGTGCTGCAGTGGGCCTGGGGTGGGGGGCACCCACCACCCAAGCCCATGCTGCCGGGGTAAGGAGGAGAACCTGCCTTGGCCCCATCTTTCCCCAGCAGCAGAGCACGAGCGCCTGGAGAAGGTGGGCAAGGGGGACTCGGGAGCAAAACTAGGTGTCCCTTGACATCCAGGAATCGTCCCCACGGCCCCCCCCAAGCAGCACCCCAACCCCTGAAGTGACGACCCCCCCCCAGTCCCCATCACCTCCGAGAAGCAACTTACAGGAAGCCGAAAGGTGCCAGGGTGAACCTGCCCCGGGGAAAATCCAGGCGCCCGTTGTAGCTGTCCTCCAGCCCCTTCAGCTGCAGCAGGGCCAGGCGTACCTGTGGGGACAGGGGACAGAGCTGGCACTCGGCTCCCGCGGGGAAGAAGGGCGACGGATTTCGGGGGACGGGGTGTCCCCCCCTTTCCCCTGGGGGACGCAGCAGATCCGGTGGGTCCCGGTGCCGCTGCAGAGGCGGGAGGAGGCGCGGGGGGATGCGTCACCGTCAGCGGGGCCGTGACTCAGCACTGGTGGCCGGGGTGGCACCGAGCCACCCCCTGAGCACCCCAAGAGCGGCGTGGGAGGCTCTGGCCGGGGGGGGGGGGGGGAAAGGCAGGGGCCCCCCCGCCCCCTCCCCCCGGGG